CACACACACACACACACACACACACACACACACACACACACACACACGTCTTCTTTCTTGCTATCATAGCTAATTCCTTTCCAGTGATGGGGGCAGGGTTTACACACTGAGGCAAACCCTAGGCTAGAGACCCACGCCTCCAGCCCTCATGGCTGTTTTTCTGGAGGGCTTTAAAATTCATCTCATGAAAACGGATGGAACTGGAAAATATGAAGTGAGGCCACCAAGGCTCAGGTAGACAGACACTCTCTGTTCCTCTCATGTCGATCCATCCCTACTTTATATCTGTCTGTCTTTGAGGGCAGAGACCTGGAAAGGGGCCCATGAGGAGAGGGTGGGGAGGAGCTTTAAGGGAGAGGTGTGTTGAGGGTAACAGACAACCGTGATGGGAACGGAAGGGGACCGAATGGGACAAGAAGGGCTGGGCGCCGGGGGATGGGAGGTGGGGGAACCAACAGGAACTAAGCATATATAAAAATGTCGTGAAGAAAGCTGCTACTTTGCGCAATAACTAAAATTATTATTTTAAGAAAGAGATAGGGCTGCGGAGATGGTCCAGCTGGTAAAAACCCGAGAACAGGAGCTTGGTCCCCTGAACCTAGGTGGAAGGGTGAAACCAAGTCCTGAAAGTTGTCCTCCAATGTCCAAATGCATGCATGGCAGGTGGGCTCCACGCTCACAAGTGTCACACACACACACTCACACACACACAGAGTTTTAAAAGATACTGATATTTAGATGCTCGCATTTCTTGATAAAATGTGGTAACCCCAAATGTCCATGGGATCAAAGAGGCATTTGCTAAGCCACGAACACACTTGGCAAGCTGTCTTCTGAAGGTGAGAGCCGGGCCTCCTTCACAGGCACCTTGCTTGGCTCCTGCTACACTGCCCTTCGCTGTCACAAGGGACATGGGAAAGGCAGCCTGTGCCTGCCAGGACGTGGGGGCCTTGAGCCAGCCCGAGCGCCACAGAGGGAGACGGGTCCTTGTGGCAGAGCGGGGGCCAGAGTGCCGGTGGCCTGGGTGTCACTGAGACTGTGCTGGGGGGAGTTCTGCTCGCTACCCGACAGTGACAGCTGGAAGAACCTTCCTGGACAGTCGAGACCTCACTCCTCAGAGTTGGCCAGGACACTGTCCAGCTTCACGGAGGACACTGGGCAGTGGGGGTGCGTCCCCACCCTCCTCCACCAGCTCTGAGGCGGAAGCCTCGCTTACCCTCATGCCCTCGAAACGTGACAAGGCCCTCAGGGGTCGCAGTGCTCGCAGCGTCCTCAGGGACTTGATGGGACCCATCTCGGCAAAGCCCAAGGTGTTGGCCACGAGGCTGACTAGCGAGACCTGTGGAGAAGGGGTACGGATGGGAGGGCAGGTGCTAGGCTCTCAGGCCGGCTGTCCGGCTGTCCTTTACTGGCTAGGTAAAGGCTTCCCGGAGCCTTGAAGGCCTGGGGCAAGCCAAGACTGTCCTGGCTACAAGCCCTTCAGAGAGCTGCTGTGTCTGTCACAGCCACCAACCCCATGGGCCAAGGTGTGTCGTTCCTGTTCTACCCTGTTCATGTGGCTGAGCAGAACCTCTCCCTTGCTCACCACTGGCAGCCTCCTTAACCTGCACCCAGGGCTCATCTGTGCTCCTCCCTTGCCTGCAGGGTATGCGGCCCCTTAAGAACAAAAGCCAGCGTGTGTGGCCTTCTTCCCCTTAGAGCCCTCAGACAGCTCTCGTTTTCTTTCCTTTGATGGTGCTGGGGACTGAACCCAGGGCCTCACCCATGCTAGGCCAAAACTCTACCTCTGAGCTATATCCCAAGCCTTCCCTTTACTATTTGATTTTGAAACAGGGTCTCACTAATTCACCCCAGCTGGCCTTGAACTTGCAATCCTCCTGCCTCAGCTTTTTGAATATGTGGGTTATAGGCCTGCACCATAAGGCCCTACTATTTCCACCTTTCATCCTAAATAAAAGTCGATGTTATGTGCCTGTTTGCTCTGATCGCCACTTGGGGGGGGTGTTTCTCAAACAGGCCAGGCTTAGAGCTTGGGTGTTCTGATAAAACCCTATGAGTTAACCCTAACTCCCCTCAGATCTGCCTGAGTCCCCTCAGGGGACCCATTCTAGCCAGATTATTTAAAGTTGTGACTGGAAAAATGGGTGCGGTGGCACACATCTGTAGTCCCAGCACTCGAGGCAGAGGCAGGTGGATCTCTGTGAGTTTGAGGCCAGCCTGGTCTACAAAGTGAGTCCAGGACAGCCAAGGCTACACTGTCTCGAAAAGCAAAAACAAACAACAACAGAAAGTTGTGACTTGCACCATCGGTCCACCCTGTGGCCTGGTTCCTGTGCTTCTAACTCCTGGCCTGCCCTGGGTTCTTCTCTGCAGTTCACCCTCACACAAAACACCAGACTGGCTTCTCTCTCTCCATCTCTCTCTCTTTCTCCTTCCTTTTTGAGACGAGGTTTTGTTCTGTAGCCCTGGTTGGCCTGGAAGGCCTAGCAACCCTGAGTGCCGGCATTATAGGAAGCTTGGCAGCAAGTGCCTTTACCCACTGAGCCATCCTGCCAGGCCTGACTGGTGTATTTCTAGTTATCGTGTGCTGCCACGTGCCTCTCCGTGGACTGAGACTTGTAGACTTACAATAGTACTTGAACATGGGCCTGGGACTCCTTGGAGTCCTGGGACCACCTGACCCCTGGGACCACCTGGACACCTGAAACCACCTGGAGAGCTGGGACAGCCTGAGGCCTGGGACCTCCTGATGCTTGGGGCCACCTGGAGACCTGGGACTACCTGAGGCCTGGGACCACATGAAGACATAAGACCATTTGAGGCTGAGAACACCTGAGGCCTGGGATCACCTGAAGACATGGAACCATCTGAGGCTGAGAACACCTGAGGCCTGGGATCACCTGAAGACTTGGGACCTGGAATCTCCTCTCAGGCAGCACGGCGAGTGCCGTGTAACCTGGAATGGCAGCTTTGACCCCAGCTTGCTTCTCCACAGGCTTTTTCCTGTTTGAGCTGGGAAGCAGTGTTGAAACCCTGCAGCACTGGGTTCCCTGGGGTGGTGGTTGGTTGGTAGCCTTTCCCAGACTGAGTGTCCCTCAGCTGGCCCAGCTTCCCAAGAATCATCAGGAATAGCAGGCTAGGGCACTCAGGGCAGGCTTTACCTCAGGGCTGAGAGAGCTGGGGCCAGGCAGCACCCACTCCAGCCCACCATCACACCGTCAGTGTTCCTCCGCCACTTGGGGTAATAAGAAAGGTTAGACTTGAGGCCCAAGCACCTCGGTCTCTGTAAATTCTCCATTCCACCGGGCCTCCAAAAGCTCAAGCACCTTGGTTTGACCTCCTAGGTGGGGACTCAGGTGGCCCTTGGCTAGAATGCTGGGGCTGAGTCCCTTCTCTGCCAACAAGTCAGTCCTGCTGATGTGGACTCCAGTGCCAAGCCTGAGGACCACCAACAACCACTCTGGAAAGTGGCTGCAGATCCTGATGCCCACTCTTTCCTGTGGAACCTATCTCACACACACACCTGAGCTCCCGAGCCCCTCTTCTCAGGGACACACACACCTGGGCTCCCGAGCCCCTACTCCCTTCACTGAAAGTAGACTCAGAGATGCCTCCTCACCTGAGCATTGTCTCCTCCCAGCTCCGTCTGTCCCGCAGGGTGCTCATACAGCCTATACACACTGGGAGAAGCTCGGGAGGGGGCATCCCACTCCGTCTGCTGACTGAGGGCTCAGAGGACGCTCACCCCTTTGCACTTGCCACCCTGGGACATGCCCGGGCAGACAAGGCCCCGGGGTCTGATGGTCCACTCAGCCACAGTTCATGCATTCTCCTCTTCACATGAAATTCCTGTCTCAACCTCCAGTGGTCTCTTCCTCCCTGATGCCTGGCCTCAGACTCCTGGCTTCCCTCTGCTCACCTGCCCCGCAGCACAGCTGAGCACCCCCTCTTCCACGTAGCGATGCTGCCTGGCCCTGTCATTCTACCCCTTGCCCTGCCGTGGGCCCCCACCATGTGGGCCCCCTTGAGTGCCCACTCACGTCCACAATTAGGAAGTCGAGCCAGCACCAGGCGTTGGTGAAGTACTTCTTGAAGCCATAGGCCACCCACTTAAGGAGCATCTCCAGCACAAAGACGTAGGTGAACATCTTGTCGGCGTACTCCAGCAGCACCTTGATGGTCTTCCGCTCCTCCAGGTAGATGTCCTCAAAGGCCTGTGGGCAAGATAGACAGGGGCTCAGGTCCAGATGGCAGCCAAGCAGTTCCCCTTGCAGGGGCCCAATTTCCAGCAACAGCTGCTGCTCGCTCAGGAGTGGGGAAACTGAGGCCAGACACATGTGAAGGGAGGCCTGCCTCCTCGCTCAGCTGTTACTCCCTCCCCACCACCATGGATGGCCAGGAGATTGCCAGTGGCTGGCTGGGCAGGGTGTGCCCTCGACACTACTAGAGAGCGGGTGTTATTTCTAGGTGAGCACGCTCTTAAGATCACTTCCCCGGCTGGGCTTGGTGGTACAGGCCCGTGATCTGAGCTGTGGATGAGGCATGAAGACCAGAAGGCCTGAAGAGAGAGATGGGGGGAGGGAGGCATAGGGAGAGGGAAAAGACAGGAGGGGAAGGGGAAAGGGAAGACAGGGGAGGGAGACAGCACTATCAAGGCCAGCCTGGAAAACTTGGTGAGATCCTGCCTCAAAATCAAAGGCAGTCAGTAAATGAATGCTGGGCTGTGTCTCTGTAGTCAGCCCTTCCTTCGCGTCACTGCAAAAAGAAATAAGTAAATAATTTGAATTAAATAACTAAGATATAGAAAACAGTTAAATTAAGTTTTCCAAAACTTGCCCATTTAAAGCCAGAGAGAGGGGATAGGCGTTTGGCTCACAGCTTTCTGTGGGCACAGTGTGAAGAGCTGCTCTGGCTCACCCTCCATCTTGTATTTATTCTACTTATCTTGTATATTTACCATTTGCATGGGTATTTATATTGGATTTCATTCCAACGATGATTAGAGTCCCGTTACAATGACCACACTTAAACAAAAAAACCAGCAACACTTGTCCAAAGAAAAATTTTCTTTCCTTTTTTGTTTCTTTCTTTTTTGTTTTTATTTGTTGTTTGTTTTTTTGAGACAGGGTTTCTCTGTGTAGCTTTGGCTATTGTGGATCTCGCTTTGTAGACCAGACTGGCATCGAACTCACAGAGATCCACCTAACTCTGCCTCCCAAGTGCTGGGATTAAAGGAGTGTACCACCACACTAGCCAAAGCAGAATTCTCAGTGAACCAGTACAAGCTCTGACGTCCAGACAAGTAGGCTCTCCTCAGGTCACATGTGTGCCCTGAGCCCAAAGCCCTTTTCTGGAAGGGCTATGGCCCTAGGACCACCTGTCCCCAGCACTCTAGAGACGACATAGGATTTCCCCTGCTTCTCCTCATTCCCGCCTCTTCCACAGCACTCCTTCCGCTGCCCTTCCTCCTCTGGTCTCTGGCTGTTCCTTCCCCTCTCCAGCCAGAGTGTGCTCAGAGGCTCCCTGCCTAGGCAACATGTCATGGGGGATCGTGGGGAGCTGCGTCGCTCTGTCACCTCTGGGTCCCTCTGACTTCAGGGCCTGTGCTGCGATCCAGGCAGGAGCGCTTCGGGAGCGCCTGGGGACACACAGCTGAGGCCTCAGTGTGGCTAATTGGGCCTGTGTGGGCAGCACAGTGGTATAGCCCGGCCCTCCGACAGCCGTGGGGCGCTTCAAAATAAAAGTGGAGATCTGTTAATCTACTTATATCTATGTTCTTATTTTTGAATCATGCAAGGCCTGGGGATGTAGCTCAGTGAAAAACATGCACAAGGCTCTGGGCTCACGCTCCAGAGCTCCACATAAACTCACAAATAAGATAAAAAAAAAAGTATAGAAATTCTCAAAATTGGCATTTCCAGCTTCATGAGCATACAGGAATGGGCACCAACATTCAGATAGCATCCGTGTGAATGGGTGCACACACACACACACACACGGTGTGATTTTACAGGATGCATTAAACATCTGCTCTGAAATTACTTATAAAATATTTTACCTTTTAATCATGTGTGTATTTTTGTATGTGCACCTAAGTGTGGTGCCTGCTGAGGCCAGAAGGTGGCTTCAGATCCCTTGGAGCTGGAGTTAGAGTTGACTGTGAGCTGCCAGCTGTGAGAACTGAACTTAGGCCTCCGGAGAGCAGTAAAATGTGGGGTGTGGAGGACGTAACCCCAGAACTTGGCTGAGGCAGGAGGCTCACCAGTTCCAAACTAACATGGGACTACATCTCAGGGCCCCTTCTCAACACCCTGGCAGGACAGCTCAGAGGGCACAGGTGGCTGAGAACCCGAGGAGCTGCGTGATGGAGGAGAGCTGACGTTCTCCACGGTGGATGTGCACACAAAGGGAGTAATTTTAAGCATAATCCTTTAACAATCCAAAGCCCAAACCCCAACTCACCAAATAAGAAAACCAAAGAAAAGACTTCTTTCAGCACGTACTCCGTGCTGAACTCACTGACGTGACTACGTTATCACCTGTCAGTCCTTCCAACCGCGGCACGTCTCCGTTGTTCTGAAGCCAACAACGGGTCTGTCTGTTGAGGAGGCATCTCTAGATTGCTGATGTCAGAACAAAGATGTGGTCTGGGGACAGTGTGAGCAAGCCCCAGGAGAGAAGGCCAGCTCACACTCCCCCCATCGAGCACGCGTCTCATTTGCTGTGTGCCTCTCAGCTGTGCTTGCTACGGTAAACACCCACTACCACAGCGCTTAACATGCGACACCTTTGCTGGTAATGTTCAGTCTGTACAGCCTGGGGTTTTGTGTTAAGGAGCCGTCAGAGGTGGCTGGAGAGACAGCTCAGTGGGTAAGAGTCTTGGCTGCTCTTCCAGAGGACCTGAGTTCAATCCCAGCACCCACATGGTGGTTTACAAACATCTCTAACTCCAGTTTCAGGCGATCCAGCACCCTCTTCAGGCTTTTGTGGGCACCAGGCACACACATGACGCATGCACACGCGCGCATACACACACACACACACACACACACACACACACACACACACACACACA